TCCCCCAACGCTAACTAACACTCTCGACAACTTATTGCATAGATGGATATGTCTGGCAGGATTCCGGAGCACGCGAGAAAGATGGAGAGGGAGGGAGAGAGAGAGAGATGGCTATGGATGGTATGCGCGGCTGTTGGCATCACATGCCCAGACCACCCTCCAATTTCTATGCAACTGCACTGTGCCCTTTGGCGTGAACTTGGCTTTGGAAGGCCGAAGGAAGGTAGCGTCAGCTTTTTGGTCGCCCAACAGTGTCTCTGCAAGTGCAGTGGTGGTTCGTGCATTCTTTCCTGGGGCAAGAGGCAGGAGAGGCGCGGGGTCAAGTGTGTGGGAAGGCTTGTCGACTTTGGTGGTGGCCTTCTTGCGGCTTGCTCGGTCAGTGCTTATGATTGTCCATTCTCGCGGCATTTGTGAGACAAGACGAGACCTTGCACTCCATGCCCTTCTCCCACCATATCCGGTGCGCATTCAGCGCGTCCTGCGCAGGCTGTCAAGCTTTCATGTGAATTATATCGATGGCATCGCTCCTTGCCAAGCTCCAAAATCCAACTTACATGCTTTGCCATCAGAACATCGTCCCAACACCCCTGAGCCTGACTGTTGCATGTGAATGTTTGGATTTGCATGGGCAAGAATATGACTTGATGGATTTCAAAAAATCGGACCAGCGACTCTTTCTTCTCCGAATTGGTTTTGCTTGCTATCTAGCATTGCGATTCTAAACTACTGTACGTGGCAAAATGGGGTTTTGCTGCGCACATAAGCTAGGGAGGGTGTGAGTGACATCGGTCCAGCTCGTTTCAGAGATTCCTAGAGGCAAGCTTACGTCCTCCTGGACGCACGTTCTACGCGTCAAAGAATATTGCAGCTATGGCGGGTTTCAGTGTTGGCTTGGCTTGAAACTTTGCACACTCTGTGGTTGACATCCTTGAGGGCCTCCAGTTCAACATCCGACGTTTGTGCGTGGTGTGTCGCATGCATATCTCTTGGCAGCATGGGCGGGCGTAATGTCGGAGCCATGGCGTTCATACAATCAGTGCCGTGCTCAAAGTTTGTGATCCCAAGGCCTGCGCAGGTTGCGTTAGATGCAGAATGAGCGCTTGCTCCAAAGGATATAGTCGGGAGGTGACCCTGAATTGAGCAAACTGGCGTGGGCTTCAGAGCTCTGCTGTTGGTTTGGTTGGTTTTCCCAGCGACTCTAGACTTCAGTTCCCTGGACAGGCAGAGTCACCGTGAACTTCACTTGGTTCTTGTTCGCATTGTGGATCTTGGCATCAACCTCATCCTTCGCATGGCGTAGGTCTGAGTAACCAGTTGCTATCTGAGAGCATGGGCTGACCCAAATGTCACAAGAAAGTTGCATATGCACATATGGATCATGTAAGGGAAAGGGAGCTGTCATCAGAAAGAGACAGGCACTTTGGTTGTTTCGCGCACAGCCATGGAAGCAGCTGTAGAAGCGCAAGGGTCGGCTTTTGCATCATCATGTTGGTGTCTTGGGGGACAATGGTGGCTGTTGAACGTTAATCTGCCTGCGCCAAGAGTGGCCTGACTCATTGTGCTGGCCAGATTTGGGGTGCTTCAGCTGCATTAGTGTCCACTTTGTATGTTCCTGAACGTGCTTCAGCTGGGAACCGCAAACAGGAGTATGACCTATCAGTCAACAAGGTTTCGATGAAGCAGCCTTGGTCGACTGCTCCGGCGACAACTGCACAACCAGCATCTTGTCCGATGCAAGCGGGGTCTCTTGGGCAACTGACGGTTTGTGAGCGGCCCTTGAGAACAATTGGGACCAAGCACATGTAAATGTTCAAGGCAGTGGCTATCCCATCTGGCCACATGCCCGGCCTCGCCCGCAGACCCCTGTGAGGCGCATACCGAAATGATACGGTAGCCATTCTGAGACTTGTTCTTGTCAGTGGCCTGCCTGATGATTTAGCAGTTAGATTGGGAAGGAATTCATGGGCACCTCAATAGGCTGCCGTCCAAAAGCAATTTACATCCTGTCCATTATTTACGCAATCCGACATGGCAATTCTTCAATCGTCAACCCAATTGCAGTGCTTTTATCAAGCGTCCTGTGGAGTGTTACCATGATGCCGTTCGCTCTGTCAGACCGGAAGGCATCATCCCCTTCGCCGGCTTCGAGGGCAGCAACAGCCCGAAAGCTTCAGCGATCAGCGAGTGACTTACTGAGTCAGGAAGATGCAAAAATTCTAAGGTCAGATGAGCTGCCAAACTTCAAGCAGCTGCATTGCGATTGGCCTTCACCCGCGAGCTTTTTTGAGGCTGTGTGGAAGCTGTCAAGAGCTAAACAGGAAGCAAGATGCCGCAGCTGCCCTGCAAAGGTTAAGGCACTACACTGCGGGAATCTTGGCACAAGCCCATTCCAATAGTAAGAGGCACTGTTCTCCTCGATGTGAAGTTCTTGCTGTGCTGAACGAGCATATAGCCTTCTGGAACTGCAGGAACAGCTCCCACCTGTTCGTGCACAATGGCTTCGCCATTTTTGAAGCTGAAGTTATGAACCATAGCCTTGCTGAACTTAGGAGGCAGGGTGGCCATGACAGGTAGAGACAGGGTTGTCGGACAGTTGGCCTGCGCGGCGTAGGCCAAACTAATGCAGCTGCAGATCATTACCCGTGTGTGTCAGGCTTGAAATGCCAAATGTTGAGTCCGTGATGATGCTTGGCATCACATCTCTGGCAGACTGCAGGGGATTGTGTTTAACAAGGTGGCACCAGAGTATTGAGTTGAGCTGGGCGCCGGGGAGGGCTGCAAGAGGCGAGTAAAACATTGGAGGGGATTTTACGGGGCAAAGGTTCGACTTGTTTGAGTTCCAGTTCCATGTTGTGCCTACGTTCTGAGTCCCCTTCGAAGTATGAAAGCCAGCTTCAGGTTCTGCAAAGCGGAGTCATGCTTTGCACTCAAGCCTGGCCTGCTTCCTTCTGCATGGAGTGGCAAGCTTAGCTAGTCTTTTGAGCTTAGCCATACTCGCCCGTTTCAATCTGAATTTTTGCCTCTGCTTTCCCAAGTGCAGTTCTAACGTTTCAGAAGTGAGCTTGTAGGTGGGGCAATCAATTCTTGTGCGCACTAAGCAGAAGCATAGTGCCTTCATGATGGTTGAGACCGCCGCTATGCAAAAACCACTTGCTGAGCACGGCAAAATCAGGTCTACAACCACTAGCGACGGCTGCCTCTTCAGGATTGATTCCTTGCTGCAGACAGTTCACCCAGTCCCACCAGGCCATGTCCGCCTCGGCAGGAGGATGCACAGGATGCGTGGGGAGCTTCAAGGGAGCCTGCGCCTTTGGTGTATCTGAGGTTGGCAGGAGGGTACGGAACAACTAATTCGATGCATCAGGGAAAGGGTGAGGAGGAGGAGAGTGCTGGAGCTTGGCCTGCCTTTTTCAACAATCGAGCTTCTTTAGAGGCACAGGTGAGCAAGCAAACTCGAAGAGTCAAGAATTTGAAGTTTTCACTTCCTTCAATTGGTGCGAGCGACAAGCCAAGGATGGATGACATTGTACGGAACGTCGGTGTCCCAGGCCCCTCGAGGACGGCTACGCAATTGCACCCGTCAGGCAAAAGTCCGTGTTGCATACCCCGGCAAAAGCCAGTAGGCAATCACGCCCCCTTCCGAAGAGCTCAACGTTGCCCTAATTCAGCGCAAGTTAGCCTACATATTGTTTCATTGAAATAGCCAGGGCGTTGCTGACGCTAGCAGGATAGTATCCGGGAGTGGCTCTAAACTGGTGAAGATGTCTCTTGATGTTAGTGTTCTCAGTGCACCAACCACAATGAGCCCAAGCGTGGATCGGAAGCCCGCACAAGCAAATTTGTCCAATCTTCCAGATTCAGGTCTCACTTCCTGAAACATGGCGCCTCATCTCCGCTGTTTGGGCGGGGAGCGAAAGAATTTGGCTGGCAGGCAGGCGCACGCAAAAGGCTAGATTTGTTTGGCCTGTTTAGAGAAGCGCTGGGACAGGCGCAAAAGCGCAGGGGTGTCTGAGTGGGTGGTGGGCTGTTCTTCTGCGGAACAGGTTGCCCCCAAGCGTCAAATGATTAGTAGTGAAGATTGTCCAGGGTTATGCTTGAAAAATCCGCATGTTGCAGGCACTATGGCTTTCGTATTCCAGAGCGCAAACCTGACCAAGCTGTATTTTCATGTCTCGCAGCCGAGCGTGAACAGGATGGGACGGAAGCAGCATCACTGCTGCCCAGCTCTTGAATGATGCCTGACTGCAAGACAGAGTCAGTGTCCGCAAAGCCGTGCTCGCAAGCATGCATGCATCAATCCTGAAAGTTGCATCTGTGTCCTCCAGCGCTCTCTGCTCGAGCCAGTGTTGCTTCGGCGTTGCTTTTGAAAGCAGAATGTAGGATTTGGCAGTATGTCAGCATCATGGGAAACGCGTGAGAATCCAACCAGTAGACGTGTAGCAGGTCCTCTTACAGTCACTCACGAGAGCCAATAAGATCGAAACCCAGATCCACGTTTTGATGCGCACTTGCAAGACAGATTGAGCGATCCAATTTGAGAGCAAACTGGATGCAGGTGAGAAATGAACCACGAAGATTCAACTGCCAGCTGTTCATACACTGAATCAGCTGCTGCATGAGTCGCTAAGTTTGGATTTCCGGGCTCGGCAACAGCAGTATCATACCAGATTCTTAAACTTTCGTGTTTCGCTGAAGGAGCTGAACCTGCCAGACAAGTGTACAGACGTATGGCCTGATGCATCTAGGGGCTCCTGTGTCACAGGCTTACCATGTTCCCACTGTTCGGCAGGAAGTTTTTCTTCGTTCATCGACGCCAAAACTGGTTGAGAGCGCAGTCACAAGCCCACATGCAGAGACACTGCTTGCATTTGAGTTCTGAAAACTTGATAACAAGTCGCGCGGAAATTCAAAGGCACCAATGGCCGTGAGCACGAGTTTTGTCGCTGAAGCACCGGTGTTTTTTTGCGCGGTTACATTGGATGCCATTCCGATGTCTTCAGATGCCTGCCGAGGCAGGTCCAAAGAGACCGTGGCACCTGGAACAAAGCTTCAAGGCACAGGGTTTCATTCCCGCTTTGTGTTCATGAATGCTGGCATGTTGATCGTAGAAATTGTGGTTCTCTCGTCTTCCCCAGGTACAGCCTCACTCAGGCTGGGTTTTGCTGCAGTACCAACGGCATCACTACAACGTATGCGCCATGATTTGCTCTTTCAATGGTCGCGTCACAGTAGCCAACCACCGCCAGCAATCCGCCAGGCCTTTGCTATGCTGGCAAGGAGACCTGCGCAAATCGCTTGGATCGCAGCTACACCAATGTACAGGCACTGCAGCTGGGCCATGGAGGCAGCGGCTGAAGTGAAGACATACCCAGGTGTTGCAAATTTCAAGTTCCCTCCATCCTGCTTGCCTTCTGCCTTGTGATTTGCTAGACGCATTCCATATGTGATTGACAACCAATTGTATCAGGCAGCAGCCTCCTGGTACTTCACAGCATCCTACTTGCAGATGGACTTGCGTACGATTGGTTTATTTTTGTGCTAGGCCTGGCATACAGCTAACGTGGGTGGAAAGCACAAGTGTCCTGAAAGGCTTTGGAAAGGGGGTCCGGCTTCGTTGAACACTAGGCTGTGAGGATGAACAGCAGGGCCACATCTGTCACATGAGCAACGAAAATGGGTCCCCAGCAAAGCCAATCCGGCTGAAGATAAACAGTAAGCGTCAGCAAGAAGAACTTGGAATATGGTGGTGACAGCAGAGCTGAGGTGCAGGTGTTCTTGATGCCTGGGATTTGGAGAAGGGTGCCTTCAAAGGCCAACTGCAGCTGGGCCAAGGCAAAGCCTACCAGCTGGGGCCAAAGTGGCAAAAGCAAAAGCACAGGTGTGGGTGTTTTCTTCCCCTGAGGGCAATGTGCCATGACGGCGGATGGCTGCGCCTTTCTCGGCAGAGCCCATCTGGGCCTATCCTCGAAGAGCTTCCTTGGGTTCCTTGGATCGGCTGCGCTTCTTTCCTGATCTTTCAGACATGGTCTTGAACATTCATGCCCTTCTGGCCTGGACAGCTTCCGCTGAAAAACATGCAGAGTCAGGATCATGCCAGCCCATGATCTCATCTAGTGTCAATTGCTCAGTGCCAGAACAGTGCATGCAGACAACCCCACTTCGGAACTTGCAGAGTAGTATCATCAGAGCTGGCGCCATGTCCCCAGAAGAATGGGAACTGACGCGTTGGTGGCGAGAAGGTAATCGGCTCAGTGCCGGCTCAAATCAATTTGTTTGAAGTACCGACTGCAGTGCTGACCGCGGTGTTTTTTGCTTTGTGTGCAGCTCCAAGTGTACGCCTGCTCTTGCGCACATGTACTTCTACTTCTGTGGACAATTTTCTGGAGGCCCTGGACCGCTTGATGCAGAACCAGATGCATTTGATCTGGGAACGCCCAGAGGCGAACGGCGCTGCGGTTTCGACACTTGGAAATCCAGTAAGCACATACATGAGATGAAGTGTGCCACTGGTGCTATGGCAGCAACAGAACACCAAAGGCGATCGAGGATGAATTCGACAACTGGGCAGACCGTACCAAGAAATCAATTAGGTCGCCTGGAGCTGCGTCAACGGGCACAGCAGGCCCATGTTACCACACTGAGCGCAGAGACAGCTGACAGCAGCTCTTCCTTTCCTGAGTGCAGGCGCCACCTATGATCTCTCCCCCAGAAATGGCTCGTCACCAGGCAAGGCTGAAGCTTTTCAGCTAGAAGAAGAGGAGTGGCTTGCTCAGCACTGCCAGCACAAATGATATGGAGATGTGGTAGAAGACTTCGGAAGCTGACTTCCAGCAAGGAATGCTTACCTCTCAGCGGTCCAGCTGCTGAAGGAGATGGGGTCTGGTCGGGCAGAGGCAGGAACAAATTCAACAGGGCGCAAAGATTGGTGGCTGTTTGACAAGACACTGAAGTCAACTAACACCAGGCTGAGGTGGCATGGAAGACGTGTGTCCTACGCCACCTGCCCGCACTGAGCAAGCCTTATCTCATGCAAACTGTAAACTGTAACCGAGTCAGCTGTCAGCTTTCAGAACTCAGCGCAGACCACAACAGGCCGGATCCTTCCAAGATCCCTGACATAAGCAGACTATGGGGTGAGCACAGCACTGTCAACTGAGTCTTGCTGCGCAAGCCTAAAAAAGTTGTGCGGTCCTCAGAGCAAGGCGAAAAGCTGCGCCTTGCCAGATCCATGGCAGCAAATCGAACAGCTCCAGCTCCACGACGAAGTCTCTCTCGCGAGGTGAGGTGGGTTCCAATGATGAAAACCTGGAGCTTGTTGTCAAACTCGTGATTCTTTGTGAATTCTTGTGGTAGTGGTGGCATCTTTGCAGACATCGGGCGATGGGAGTTTGGACGATATCGAAGCAGGGCATGGCCCTGAAGATCTTGAGCTGTGCGCAAACCTGAGTTTTTTGTCGCCTGTAGTAAGTGAAGCCTTTTGTCAGAGGATGGAACATCACGTCGAAAGCTCCTGGTCCAGGTCCTGATAGTTGGCCAGAGCAGAAGTTCCGTCCGTTGGCTGTGGACTTCTCCTTCAACTTTGCAGCTTTGGAGATGGCGGAGCAGGAGCACGAGGCCTTCGGAAAAGGTCTGCACACAAGTCCTGCTTTGCCATTGCTGCAAGTTCGATGCAGGCTGAGGTACGAGCATTGCTTCAGGAAGCTTTCGCTGGATGGCAAAGAGCCGTGCGATTCTAGGATATTGCAGAAAGACAGGTGTGCCGAGGGGCTGTGTCGAACACACCGCAGAAAAGCTAAACACTCGTCAATAGCAGGCCCTGAAGCTAAGTTTGCACGTTTCGTTCAGACAATTTAAGGCCTTTGCTGCTTCCAGTAGTGAATGCTACCTCGGCAGAAGTACAGACTACATACTGTTCAGGTAGATGTCGGGACACTGGTGATAGTGCACTTCAAGTATGGAAGAACATGCGACTTCAGCCAAGAAACCCGCCAACACAACTGGAACAATCAAGAATGCTAAACATCGAACACCGCCACACCAGAGAAGCCGACATTGGCGCGTCTTGCGCCTGAGTCCCCTGCGGGCACGTTTTCTAGCTGTAGCCATGTGGTGCAAAGGCACCTCCTCGTGGTTTGCCATTTTTGGCTTCTGCTCTGGCTCCAAGTGCAGTAGCCAGTATGCACAGGGCCAAACGGCGACAAAGGCAGCGTAAACTTTGCTCGCCTTGTTGCCATGCCATGCAACAAAGGCAGCTGACTTCCATCCAGTATCTGGGCCTTCGAGCACGAAGGTGTTCAGTTGCAAAGTAAGGCAGAGTAATTCACACAGTTTGGGCACCCGTTGGTGGCAGTTGCTTGCATCAGCCTCGCAGTCATTGAACAAGAAGTGAACCTGTACAGAAGGCCTCAGGCCTCGCGACGAAAAACGTCATTCTGCCTTTTTATTGCTTGAGCGGGGGCAGCTAACATGCCGCATACATGCCTGTCTGGAAAGGCTTCCGTGCGCTTCGCTTGAAGTGACCGCCAGCTGATTCTTACAAGGCCTTTTAGTTTGGTAGCTAACTAACACGCCCAATAGTGGTGGTGTTCCGATGATGCAAGCCAGTCAGAAAAAATGGTGGCTCCTTGCTATCAAGCCTATTACGCAGGATGCCTAGGGCACCACTAGTTGATGACGATTGTTTGGTTTGCAAGGATTGCTATTCACTCCAGAAGCACAAGGCAAAGTCAAGCAGTAGAACTGGGCACGTTACCGTAAATAGCACGCTGCGAGTTCACGAGGAATCTGTTTCTGTGCGTAAACACAATTCAATGGCAATCGTGCCTGGTCCTCGCAAAACGGCAACAGTCTTTGTGGGGCACTTGAGCTTCAGCATGCTGGCAGACATTTTCCCGCTATCTCATTTCTGAGGTCGGCAATATCCCCTATGATGCCACGGAAGATGCCCCGACTCAAGAGTTTTGACAAAGATGTACAGCAAGATCCTATTCAGCATGCTGAGGATGTGCGAGCTCACCTGTCTCAAGGCGGCAAGGCCACTTCAAGCTGGGAAGCGTTCACAAAATAGCTAGCTGTACAAACTTTGCAGGTGGAATCCTTCCGCATGGTATTCGACAAGGAAGTGATATGTTCCAGGCATCTGAAAATGGAGGAGCTCTGTCATCAACCGACAGGAAACAACGCAGCCAAAAGGCTACGGCTTCTGTGACTTTGCGGACACTTGCACCTGAATGCAACCCCTCAACTGCGATGAAGGTTCTTTGAGTTGTCCCTGCAAGAACTGGACACCAGGATGCGGACACGGCCGTCACCGCGATCAAGGTCCTTGGGGAAAGGGAGTGTCATGGTTCCCACCACAGCATTCACAGCTTGTTTGAGTTGCTGTCTTCCAGAGCGTAGCTGAGGGAGGCTGCTGCGATTAGACCTTGCCGACAACGCCCATGGCCTGCAGTGCTTGCAGGGGCAAGCAATGGCAAGCAGTTTGAGAAGCTGGCACGCGCAGATCTCAGGAGTTAGCCCGCGGCATGCCAGCACGAGGAGCCGCAAAGTGCGGGCCTCAGCTTCTTGCACCACATGGTCAACAAGACGAGCACGCACTTGCAAGGGCCGGCGAGCCTGGAAAGACTTCAACAGTTTTTGCGCGGATCTTAAAGCCTCAAGCGGAACACAAGTTCCATACCTTTTCAGGTGAGAAAGCAGCTGAAATGCAAGTAGATGCAGGTGGGAAATATTCCATATGATGCCACAGAAGATGAAGCGGGCTCAGGGCATCTTTCGCACACTTCTCCAAAACCCCTCGTTCCCTGACAGAGCTGAGGATGTTCGGGGTCATCTGTCGCAAGGTGGCAAAGCTCTCCGGCCTTACTACAAAGCCCCAATTGCTTCACCGGCATTTACGACTTGAGCTCAAGGTGGAGTCTTTCCGCATGGTTTTTGACAAGGCCTTCGACTAATCGCCCAGGTATTAGCCACCAAGTTTCCAAGCATTTGTCTTTATTTGAGGGTTGCCGGCTGCTACGGGCAGGAGACCTTGCAACCAAAAGGTTATGGCTTCTGCGACTTTGCGGACAGCTGATCCTTGAGGCCTGGTTTGACTGACATGTGCGATTCCAGCGTGAGGACCCTGACACGGCCGTCACAGCAATCAAGATCCTCAGCGAGAAAGAATGTAACGGTAGTCTCCACAGATCAATTTCGAATATTTGCTTTGAAGTAAAGTGGCAGCCTTCCTGCATGCGCCAAGGCAGGCTACTCAGGTTGGACCTGGCCGACAATGCGGTTTGATTGGCAAATTAACATTGACCCGGCCTGCTAAGATAATGGGACGGCTGCTGATCAGGACTTGTCTCGCGGCATGCCTTCGCGTGGAACAAAGTTTCCGGCTCGGGATGCAGTTTACCTCGCTGTTGGCCGGCATAAGTTCTTTGTCAACCCCACTGCTATCTTTGTCAGAGGCCCGGTGCCAGTGCAGGTGCGTCCTTCGCTCAGCTCAAGCGTCTGCATTGTCCATTCGTTGCCTCCCTTGTCGCATGTCCAGGCTGGCGCTGACAGGACCAGAGACCTTACCTCAGATGTTGCATCACATCATAATCGTCATGAATGGTTTTGCGCCCTGCAAAAAAGGGCGCCCAGCCGGCCACGTCTTCCGCAAGCAGCGCCTGCCAGGGACAAGAGTGGGAAATTTGTTTGCAATTGTCCGTAGCAGCCTGAACTACACCAAGGCGCCCATAAAAACATCGGGCACTACAACAGGTAGCGGGGTTGTGACGCCAGGCTGGACATTGCAACGTCGCATAACGTCATGTAGACATGGTGTAGAGGGGCACGCATCTTGAATTCTTGACCCGTGGGCCCAAGCATCAGGATGTGTCAGCACCATAACAAGCATAGTTCTGATGAATCTCGCAGGCATTGCAACCCGAAGAGCGCATACGTGAGGTAACTTAGGCTTCGGCATAGCTGCATGACACGCTCACGTCATGATCACCGACGGCGAGACAAAGAGGCCGGAAGGGCTTGCAATCTTTCCAGGTCAAGAGGAACTTCGTTGTTTGCGCTGGTACAAACAGGCAAGTCATGCAAGCTTCCTTGTCTTTTAACAAAAATCAAAACCTGGAGGACCTTCACTTCTAGGAAGCCTACCCGTGCTCATTTCAATTCGCAGATCAAAAATAGTCAGAGAGTTTTGTTCCCCACATTCATTGCGGGCCTTTAATTTTTAATGCATGTCGCCCGCCAACCCTGCGTGCTCTTCTGTGGTCGAAAGTAACTCGTTCTTTTAAACGAGTCTTGCTGTAGGGAGCGATGTGCAAAATGCACGCGCCCCGTGCGGGACATCCTGAAAATTCGTGATTTTGCTTACCGAAAAATTGCACTCCCGCGGAGCATCCTGAAATTTGGTCAACTTATCTTCGGCAGTTCCTCTCAGACTGACAATCCGGCATTCTGAATATTTGATGATGTTTAATTCATCAAAAGTTGCGCTCCCGTGGTCGTCTTCTTCGTTCAAAATTGCAGTCTTACCCCAGTAGTCAGTGAGTATAGTTTTCTTCGACTTTGTCGTTCAAAATTGCGCTCCCGTGCAGAGCATCCTGAAAATCCAACTTCTTCATTCCAAATACATCGCGCGCCCCCAGGCATAGCACCTCGGAAATTTTGAAGAAAATCGCGCTCCCGTGCGGAGCGTCCTGGAAATTTTGAAAAAAATCGCTGTGGTGCGAGGAGCATCCTCAAAAAATGTGCAGAGCATCCTGACAATTTGGTCGATTTCTCATTGCGTATGTAAGATTTCTAAAAGACCTGAAGATTTTTCTTTTAAAAAGCAAATTCTTTAAATTTGATTCTTTGCAAAATCTTAGGGGGCATTCCTTGCAAGCAAGGTGCCTTGGAATTTGGAATGTGGGATTCTCTTGGTTGGTCACCCTTCCTATTTGACATTTGGGGACTTGCTTGAAAAATCTGAGGGGCGACCCTGTGAGAAATCGGTCCAGTCCTTGCGATTTAAGATTTTGGGAGGCCACTCTGTGGGTTTTCTTTGAGCACGCCAGATTTTCACCCCACGAGCGAAACCACTTAG